TCATAGATCCACCGTTGCCAAAATTTTAGCCCACTTCTAGTGAAGGATGCTGCTGGTGCTCGGGCGAATCCATCCAGAAGATCCTTCCAATTTTCATCAATCAAACTGTAACTATCGTCACGGTGAAGCGCATCAAACATGATATCTACACATATTAGTCATACATTAAATATGCTATTATTTTATATGTTTATCATTTCTGCGTAATTAAACGTTCATGCTCTCACCAAATCTTTTGGCTTGTAAACACTGGAGAAGTAATTTGGATCCTTGTTTTCCGTTCTTGTCCATTAGGATTTCGAATGGTGTTGCAGAATAGAGAAAGGACGTCAGCTTCTCATGCCCTCGTCTACACGCCGTTACAACCGGGATTTCTTTAGATTTTTTATCTTCCTCAGAAAGCAAAGTGGAATCTTTTCCAACCAAGTATTCCGCAATCTCGATTTTACCAAATATAGCAGCATAGCGTAGAGCTGTACCAATAAATACATCTTTTTTTTGTACTTGCTCTAGAGGCATACTCTCAACCAATGCCTGGACAACGTTTAAGTTGCCAACCATAGTTGCGTAATGAAGAGGAAAGTCACCTGTCCAATGTGCCAAACTTCCGGGTCCGGGATTATTCGTTAGAAAGCTCCTTATTATAGCATCAACGTCTCCTCTGTTAATTGCATCATGCAAAATTAGGGACTGATCCCATTCTATAGTTCGGAAACCACCTACAAGGATTCAATTACAGCAGATATCATGTTTAAATGGTAAGTTCGATTGAAAAAGGATTAGAGAGTTCTCCTTCTGTCCCTTAATAAAATTCATTCTTTTTTCTTTTTTTTTTAATCAGCAAAATCCATTCTTTTAGTTGATAAAAATAAAAAGTATATAATTTTTTTATCAGAAATAAAGTTTATATAGTTAATTTAAGATAAATTTTGAGTAAAAAAAATATTATTGCAGTAAAAGAATTTATTGTATACTCCTCTATCATAAAATAACTGTTATTTTTTAATTTTTTTTCAAATTAAAGATTTCAAGATAATATTTATATTTATCTATAATATCCTTGAAAAAGAAATACTCTAGTAAAAGATAAAAAAAGACTTTTTGAAATTTGATGATTAATTAAGATAAATATATAATGATAAGATTGAAATAAAAATATATTTATCAACCTTAAAATTGAAAAAATAATAATTAATTTAGAATAAACTCAAAGTCAAAAAAATAATAGTTATTTGAAACAAATAGAGTATTAGCAAAGAAGTATATTAAGTAATTAAAAACTTGAGATTTTAAATTGAAAATCTCATATTTCAATTTTAAAATAGATGGAAAGGTATTAAGGGAATAAAAGAGTTTTCTTTTATTGTATAACTTATCATTTGATATATTAAAAAATAAAAATAAAAAATTAAATAGATATTATTGTAGGAAAAAAAGAGTAATTATAACCATAGAGCATTAAGTGATAAATTTAATGTTTAAAAGTTACTACTTTTAACAACAATCATATAT